ACACACACACACACACACAGAGTCACAAATCACAAGGGCACAAAACAGTCAAAACTCAGATCTCTACTCACCTATCAATAAGGATGCGCTTCTGGGCCCGCCTGCTCTAAGCCCCGCCCACTTTCGGAGCGCTTGCGCGCCGCACGCCTCCAGCGATACTATAGGCGCAGGCGCGGGGACGCAGTACCCAGGCCTCCGCGCTGTGCGCCTCACCGCGGCGCCTGCGCACTCTGAGCCTGGCGGGGTTTCCCAGAATCCTCGGGACTCGGCTCGCTTCAGGGAGGCGGTCTGTACTTTGGGCGCCTGGAGTCGGGACTGAGAGGCTTCTGGGCGGTTCTGTTCCCCGTCTGGGGGCCTCAGCAGGGGGCTGAGTGTAGCGGCCCCGAAGCCGGGTCGGGGAACCAAGCCCAGCAGTCGCGCCGCCGGGTCTGGACTACCCTCCCCAGGGGCCGTTGCGGCGGGACGACACGCCCACTTCCGGCGGGGGTCTAAGAGAAAGGCGGACCCGGCGAGGCGGCCGCGCGCGTTCTGGCGGCGCGTGAACGGCTGGCGTGAGGGAACGAATGACGGCTAGAACCCGGGCTCCGGACAGCCTCCCCGGGGAGGCCGGCCCCGTGCGCTCCAGCTGCCGCCGCCGCCGCGAGGCCGGCGCGGGCCCGGTTGGGGCGGTGAGGCTGGAGGGATGGACCGGAGCGGATGTCGGAGGTAAGGATGACAGGTGGCTGGGGCGCGGCCGCGACAGTGTTGGCGGAGGGCGGCCCCGGCCGCGGGGGCTGGCGGTCCCAGAGTCCAGAGTTGAGGATGGGGTCCCTCGGGCCGGGTGTGAGACAGGGGTCGCCTGACCCACAGGCTCCTTCCCGGGCTGGTGGACCCAGGAATCCAGAGTCAGGGGTAGTGTCCCTAGAGCCTGGGTATAGGACGGGGGTCCCCTGACCTGACACGCTCCTTCCTGGGCTGGCAGTCCCAGGAGTCCGGAGTCTCGGGTGGGGTCCCTCAGGCCGGGGTGTGAGATGGGTCCCCTGATCCGACAGGCTCCTTCCCGGACTGGTGGACCCAGGAGGCCAGCGAGTCGGGGGCCGGGAGTGTGAGGCTGACCTGCCCAGAGTCACCTGACCTGGTCCAAGGTCCTGCCCCGCAGGTCACCGTGGGATGGGGTTCGCAGAGGTGGGCTCCTGTGGAAGTGGAGAGGGACCCCGCCTTTCCAGGGTGTGGTCACAGAACCCATCCCATTCCTGCTTCACTCTGTCGCGCCCTCTCCCCGCCACCAGAGAAAGGAGGCGGGGGGTGGGGGGGTGGGATGCAGGGGAGGGGGAGGGGTGGGAGGAAGCACAGCTCACAGCCAGACTGTTCTTTCCTGTTTTGCTGCAGCAATAATTATAGCCACTGTTTTCTGGGTTCTGGGACCTTTTGGGGACAGTCACACCAAATGTCACTTCAGCAAGCGGAAACTCTGGACCCTCCTTTTTCACAGATGAGGACACTGAAGCAGACAGAGGCCGGGTAATCGCTAGTGTGTGGAAGAGCCGGGATTCGGTTCCAGGACTGGAGGGCTCCGGACTCCCTCCGGTACTGACTCTCGTGTAATCCTCTCTACAACGGCTTGAGGTCAGTATCCTTAACTACTTGGGACGGGTGAAGAAGTGACTCTCAGACGGTTAAATACTCTCAAGGGTTGAGATCCCCCAAACCCCCACCGAGCAAGTTTTTGTTTCTCAAACTTTTGACCCAGTTTCTCCTACGTGGCATGGAGAGGAGAGTGTGTACCTCATAGGACTGTTATCAGGGTTCACTGAGCTCATGCCTGTAAAACACTTATCCTGCCACATAGTAAGTGGTCAATAAGTGTTCATTCTTATTGTCATTTTTGAAAAAATGTTTATTTTTTGAGAGAGAGAGAGCCGTGGAGGGGCAGAGAGAGAGGCGAGAGAAATCCCAAGAAGGCTCTGCACGTTCAGCACAGAGCCCAAAGCTGAGGCTGGTGAGAACTCACGAACCACGAGATCATGACCTGAGCCGAGACCCGAGTCGAAACCAAGAGTCAGTGCTTAACCGACTGAGCCACCCAGGCGCCCCCTGTCGTCATTTTAATAAAGGCTCGAGGAAACCAGAGTTTTGAGGAAAGAAACCAGAATTAAGTCAGGGACTTTATCCTCTTTCTGATTGAAGAAACTTGGCTCACAAGAGACATGGTTTGTCACAGAGCAAAATGGGTCTCTTGGTGGGTTTATTTGGTCCAGTTATCTGGAAGCCATGTGGACCCTTTGTTGTAACAGAGGTAATAGTTCTCTCTGGGGAAGATGACTGTTTCTAGATCCCGTGGAATCTGGACCGACCCTGACTAGTCAGCCGCACCAGGTCCCGTAGAGCCGGGACCGACGCTGGCTAGTCAGTTGCACAGTTGGCTTGAGCAAATAGTCTGTGAGGGTTCACTCAGGCAGCACCCCTGGTATGTCTCTGTTGTTAATGATGGGTGGCTTTGAGATGGAAGGAGGTTGCACTCAGCCTGAACACCCAGAGCAAAGTAGGTCTCCCACTAAGCTCCTGGTGGCGAGGGGATGTGGGGGTGGCGGTGGGGGAACAGAGGGAGCTGAAGGGAGGAGAGAGTTCTGGGCTGTGATTATTACAGCCGCTCAGCCTCTCACTGCTCCTTTCTCTGCCAGCTCTGCCCTCTCAGGGTAGAGCACTTCTCATGAGGAGCCAGGAAGAGGAAGAGGTGATGGGAGTTGAACTTCTTAAAGCCATGCCCCTGGTGAGTTAGTCTTCTCTCTTTCCTTCTTAAAATACTGTCTTGCTTTCTAGGACTTGAGAGTGTTTGTCTCCTTCTGAAAATTGTCTGCCTAAGAGTTGCACCCTGAGGCCCGGCTCCCATTTCTTCCCTCTCTGATGAGTGATGGGGCCACAGAGATAGACTCAGCCCAGCGCCCTGGCCCAGCTTCCTCTTCTTCCTACAGCTGTTTAGTCTTCATTCGAGAAATGACCACTCTGAGCCCTTCCTTCCCTGTGCTCAGTTTTCCCGTATGCATCTGACAACACAGAAATACAGTCCTTAGAGGCAATTTGAGAGCCATGATCTGCCTAGTCCCTAAGTACCCTTCCTGGCTTATAATCTGTTGGAGAAATGAAAAGGCAACCAACATTTATTTGTGCAGTGTGGTCAGTGCTGTAGGTGAGGAGTGGACTTGCTGTGGAGAAGTGGGCAAGTCCACATGAATACCTTTGGGTGAATTAGAAAAAGGTGTCCTTTCCTCTGGCCCGGTGAAGCTCTGGGACAGGCCACAGTCTAGCAGGACGAAATCTACTTTAGTTTTAGCTCCTTTTTGCCTCCCTGGTGACAGATCCGGGTACGGAATAAAGCCTACACAGTCGTACTCCCTGTTGGAGCGAGGAGGCAAGGGAGGTGTGACTCCTGAGGTGCATCTTGAAGGAAGGGGAGATAAGCAGGCACACGTGATTTGGGTCGGAGGGTGTGGAGTTGTCCCCTCCCCACGTGACTTGGAGTCATGAACATCTTAAAATGCCAGGGAATGTTCTACTTCCTTTTTTCTTTCTGAGATGAACATCCTCATCTGTTTAATCAGCCCCTTGTTCCATAGCTGAGTTGTTGCCATGTTTTACTATTTAATAGAGATTATCGATCAGGTTATTGATCATCTTTTGCCCTCATCACTGATTATTTTCTTGGACTAAATTCCACATTTTTCATTTCTTATGGATTAGAGTTTCTCAAACTTCGGAATATTTTTAATTTTAATATTTTTATGATCAATAATAGTATTAAGAACTATAATTCATATTCTGATTACAGTGGACTGCTAAACGAGGATGATGAACAAATTATTGTAAGAAATTATAAAATTTGGTTAGTGAACTTTATTATTATTTTTTTAATGTTTATTTATTTTTGAGAGAGAAAGAGACAAGAGTGTGAACAGGAGAGGGACAAAGAGAGAAGGAGACACAGAATCTGAAGTAGGCTCCATCCAGCCTCTGAGCTGTCTGCACAGAGCCTGATGCGGGGTTCAAACTTGGGAATGGCAAGACCATGACCTAGGAACCCCAAAATTTGATTAATAAACCTTAAAATGGCTTTTTAAAAAAAATTATTGGGGCGCCTGGGTGGCTTAGTCGGTTAAGCGGCTGACTTCGCTCAGGTCACGATCTTGCGGTCCGTGAGTTCGAGCCCCGTGTCGGGCTCTGTGCTGACAGCTCAGAGCCTGGAGCCTGTTTCGGATTCTGTGTCTCCCCCTCTCTCTGACCCTCCCCCGTTCATGCTCTGTCTCTCTCTGTCTCCAAAATAAATAAACGTTAAAAAAATTTAAAAAAAAATTATTATAGAGGGGCGCCTGGGTGGCTCAGTTGGCTGAGTGTCCCACTTCGGCTGAGGTCCTGATCTCATAGTTCATGAGTTATTTTTGAGAGCGAGCGAGAGTGTGCAAAGTCTGGGGAGGGGCAAAGAGAGGAGACAGAGAAAGCCAAGCAGGCTCCATGCTGTCAGCACAGAGCCCAACTCAGGGCTCAAACTCACAGACCTTGACCTGAACCGAAATCAAGAGTCAGACACTTAACCAACTCAGCCACCCAGGGACCCTGAATAATAAAATTTAAAAACTAATCAAATCAAATAAAAAATAACAGCATAGTAAAATTGTCTTTATTTTATATCAGTGAGCAGCTTATAGCAAAGCAAAACACCTTTTCTAATCAGATTCAACACTATAAAACATGTACTACCAATGGAACTCGTTTGTTACGCAGTTAAGCGTTTTATATATTTTTTTAATGTTTATTTATTTATTTTGAGAGCGAGAGTGTGCAGGGAACACAGAGAGAATCCCAACCAGGCTCCATGCTGTCAGTGCAGAGCCCAACGTGGGGCTCGATCCCACCAACCGTGAGATCATGACCTGAGCTGAGATCAAGAGTCTGATGATTAACTGACTGAGCCACCCAGGTGCCCCAGCACTTAAACATTTTAGATGAAATCAGTATTGTTACTTGTCAGAGGAAAATATTTTGAGAGTGGCAGAGTATGGCAAAAAGATTAGTAATGTGACTGTGGGACCAGATTGCCTGGCTACGAATTGTAGCTCCACTGTGTACTAGATAGAGCACCTTAATTTCGGTTTCTTCGACCACAAGATGGGAATAATACTAGTACCTAATTTATAGTCCTGCTGTAAGTGTTAGTGAGTTAATATACTTTAAGTGTTTAGGAAAGTAAGTGGCACATAATAAGCACTGTATAAGCATCAGCTTTATATGCCGCTATTTGCCTGGACAGCTGCTGTCTGCCTGTATGCCCGTGTAATTCTTCATATGATGTATAGAGTGTGTGTGCGCGCGCGCGTGTATACACTCTAACAGACCTGGGAAAAATCTACAACATGGCATTTGATGCACAAGAAGCACTGAACATCAGGAGGTTTTTATTTCCAACGGAATGTTGATTTTAAAACTAACAGTAATTTACGCTGAAATTGGGAGAGCCCTTGTTCCGGGAAAGATGGACTGAGCACATGTCACCCTGTCTTTCCACTGGAAGCTGCTGTAGGACCGGGACAGCAGGCACGGAGCAGCCATCTGTAAGTGGTAAACCACTGTTTACCATCTGTAAGTGGTAAACCATCTGTAAGTGGTAAACCATCTGTAAGTGGTAAAGAACAGCAGGCTGATGGGGAAAGAAACCCAGAATGCAATGTGTTTACCTTTTTTTTTTTTTTTTTTTTTACCTCCCAATATCTCCTAGCATGGATTCAACAAGCACAAAACCCACAAGGGGTTTTGGCATGGATAAAAAGAACTGCAGGAGACACCTAGTTCAGGCTCAAGAAGTAGGAAGGGGATCTAATACTCAGAAAGGGTGGATGGGATTCTACCTTAAAAAAAAAAAAATTATGTTTTCTTGTGTCCTGAGACAGTAGCAGTGGGGTCTAAAGGCATCTAAAACTTTGAAGGAGGAGAAATGTCTGTGATTGAGAAGCTGTGTCCCCCAGAGGGTGGAGTAAACTCTTACTGCTCTGTTTTCTTGCTTCTGTTCTCTCCCTGCTTGGTTCCAGGGGTGGGTACAGTCAGGGCAGGGGCACAGTCAAGTGGAATAAATAAGCCCCAGCCATCTGGCCAGAGGACTGCGAAGGGGAACCCCTAGGAGGTAGGAACTACTGGAGAAATCACAGAGAAGAGGAGCTTTGGGAATCAACTGTATAAAGCTGTTTCTGAACTCCCAGGCTCACCCTAGCCTGCTCACGCGTGTATCTGGCCCCAGTCAACGAGAAGTGAACTGAGGGATAGACTGCTGGTCACCAAGCAGGACACGTGTACGACAGAGGCGACTGTCACTTCATAGGCTCTGCAAATGGAGCCGGAACAAAATATCAACATTCTCCATATAATTTAAACAAGACGTAAAGTCTCGTAACATTCAGAAGGTCCAGGATACTATCTAAAATTACTCAAATGATGAAAAACTAGGAAAATTTCAATTCACGGGAAAAGCTAATCACCAGACGCTGGCATTGATGTGACCTGGATGTTGGGATTATCTGATAAAGGTTTTAAAGCAGCTATTATAATAATGCTCCAACAAGTGAACTCTCTTGAAGCAGACAGCCTCAGCAAAGAAATAGAAGATAGCAGCAAGAAATGAAAAACATAATTACCAAAATAAACCCACTGGATGGGCTTAGCAGCACAGTGAGAAAGGCAGTAGGAAGAGTTGGCAACCTTGAAGGTACAGAGAAATTGTCTTATCTGAACAATTGATACAAGATTTAACAGAGCCTCAGGGCCCTGTGGGACAATACCAGAACGTTAAACATTTGTATCATTGAAGCCCCAGAAAGGAGAAAGTGTAGAAAAAATATTTGAAGAAATAATGGCTGAAAAATTCCTAACTTTAGTGAAAGACATAAAGCTGTGGATCCATGAAGCTCAGCAAACTCCAGCGTGATAAACTCAAAGACATCCTGCCTGGCGGCTCTGTCATCAGACTGTTAAAAACCACAGACAAGGGAAACAGCCCGGGAAGAATGATGCTTAACATATAGGGTAGCAGCAACTTCAATTCTGGGTTTTCCATCAGAAATCATGCAAATCAGAAGGAAGTAGAGCAACTTTTAAAAAGTACTCAAAGGAAAGAACTGTCAACCCAGCATTATGTGTCCAGCAAAAAAATACCCTTCAAAATTGAATGTGAAATAGTGTCTCATATGGAGGAAAACTAAGGAAATTCATTGGCGGATTTCTCAAAGAATTGCAAAAGGAAGTTCTTCTGATAGAAATTATACCAGAAGGGAACTGAAACATCAGGAATGAAGAAAGTGCAACAGAAATGGTAAATATGTATGTGTAAATACAGTAGGCTATTCTTCTGAGTTATTTAAAAGATCTTCAAAGGTTGAAAACAAAACTAATATCTTCGGTTTAATGAACAGAACAGGATTTGAACATAGGTGGTCTGGCTTCAGAGACCATGTTCTTAACTACTATAACATGTTGCAATTAGATAAAATAAAACAAAAGTAAAACTTTTATTGATGTATTAAATGAAATGTTTTCATCTGTTGTTGGCTGCCCCTTCTCTTCCTTCTTTTCTATCCCTCCTTCATCATTATCATAGGTAACAATTCTTGAGCACTTAGCCAGGTACTGTGATTGTTACTTCATTTAATTCTCACAGTGCAGCTGTTAGATAGTACTAAAATTGTTCCTGTTTCTCAGGTGGAGAAACTGAGGCATATGTAGTTAATTAACTTGGCCAAGATCACCTAGTTAGTCCGCTCCAGAGTCTGAATTCTTTGGAATAGTCTGACCTTTTTCTCTGATTTTATTCACAACTGGTGGGTTTTTCAGAACTCATTTGTAGATGTTGATAACAAGTGAAATCACAGAATAAGAAATGGAAAATCTGCCAGCAACCACAGAATGGATGGCTGGCATCTCTTGCTGGTTGGTTAAGAAACTCAGCCCATGTAACAAAACAGGTTGTGCTCACTTCATATGATCTCTCTCGGTACTTCTCAGCAAATTATCAAAAACCAGCTTTCCAAATGTGTTCTCTTAATGCAAAACATATTTTTATGACAAAAGGAAAAAATCTTGCTATGGGTTTTTTTCTTTTGTTTTTTTTTAGACATACCTGTTAACATCTCAGAGCACTAGGATTTCTTAGAATATATTGTGGAAGTTGAAAACTTGCTCATCAGATCAGCATCCTTCCTTGAAATTCCCTCACAGTCTCAGAACTCTTTAATTTCTTCACGTAGAAAAACGATCTAGCTCCTAACATGATAAAATACAGTTGACCTTTGAACAACATGGGAGTTGAGGGCTCTGATTCCTGCACAGTTGAAAATCCGCATATAATTTTTTACTCCCCCCAAACTAACTACTAATAGTCTACTGTTAACTGGAAGCCTAACTGATAATATAAACAGTTGATTAACACATATATTGTATATGTATTATATATTTTTATATTCTTAGAGTAAAGCGAGTTAGAGAAAAGAAATTGTTAAAAGACACATGGAAGAGAAAATATACTTACAATACTGTACTTGTTTATTGGAAAAAGTCACACGTAAGTTCACATGTAACTAGACTTGCAAAGTTCAAACCTGTGTTGTTCAAGGGTCAGCTGCAGTTTAGTACTTGACATTCTATCTTACATGCAATCAGTATATTTTCATATCAGAATGTCTTCTCACCACCGTAAAATTGTAAATGCTCGAAGAGGAGAGAATGTCTCATATTTTTTCACTTTCCTAATATGTACAATATAACTAGGCAGAAAAGTTGTCCAGTAACTAACCATACAACCTGGATGATTTAGATTCCAGTATAATTACTTACGCCCAGTGCAGGGTTTTTTTTTTCCTCATAGTGTGAACAGCGTAAGTCTTTACCCCTAGAGCCGGTTAAGTAATGGCACGAACACTGAGTAAGGTGAGATTTGTGTCATTTCAGGATTCAGTGACTTTCACGGATGTGGCCATAGATTTCTCTCAAGAGGAATGGGAATGGCTGAATCTTGCTCAAAGGACTTTATATAAGAAAGTGATGTTGGAGAACTACAAGAACCTGGTTTCATTGGGTAAGAGTATCTTCTTCCTTCTACCCCCCCCCATTGGAGTCTTTCCACCTCAGTAGTCTTTCATGCCTTTATCAGCATTTTCCTACAATGTCCCTTTTCTCTCAGTACCTCTTAGAATGTATCATAGCTCTGCAATATCCACAAAATAGCTAATTTTCCTGTCTTTTCTTATATGCAGGTCTTTGCATTTCTAAACCAGATGTGATCTCCTTATTGGAGCTAGGTGAAGACCCCTGGATGATGAAGGGAGAGAGGACAGGAGGCCTCTGCCCAGGTAAGTGCAGATAACGAGAGTGGGGAAACTATCCTCAAGATCTTTCTTCTCTGATAACTGTTGGAAAACACCCCTCAAAATCCCTCTCAAAGTAAAACTTTTTGTCCTGACACCATATTTTAAATGGATCTTCTCTTCTCCACTACACTTTTATCTGTACTGATTTCCTGCAAATAAAGTACAGTCTGTTTGTGAACTTCGTTATACTCCATGATGTTTACCTAGTTCTCAAGTACCATAGTGTTACAATCATCCCTGAAGCTCAACATTCCTGAATTCTTTAGACAAATTTGTTTTTAGTTTGAAGTGGCTTAAAAATTTCCCTTCTTTAGGGGCGCCTGGGTGGCGCAGTCGGTTAAGCATCCGACTTCAGCCAGGTCACGATCTCGCGGTCCGTGAGTTCGAGCCCCGCGTCGGGCTCTGGGCTGATGGCTCGGAGCCTGGAGCCTGTTTCCGATTCTGTGTCTCCCTCTCTTTCTGCCCCTCCCCCGTTCATGCTCTGTCTCTCTCTGTCCCAAAAATAAATAAATGTTAAAAAAAAAATTTTTTTTTTTTTAAAATTTCCCTTCTTTAAAATATGAGTTTATCAGGTTAACAATTATTATTAGCTATGTTCTTCCCTCCGCTTTTAATTATTTTTGTCTCTGGGGTTTTCTGTTATGTATTTTTCCTTTGTTGTTTGTGTATGTTCCCCCCCACACACACACACAATACCATCCCACCCCTTGAATTAGAAAGGTTTTTAGTCTTACAAGTTGTTACTTTCACGTCTTTATATTTTTTAAATCTGTATTTTAACGTTTATTTTTTGAAAGAGAGAGAGCGTGCATGCACATGAATGGGGAGGAGCAGAGAGAGAAAGGGAGAGAGAATTCCAAGCAGGCTCCATGCTGTCAGTGCAGAGCCTGACATGGGGCTCAATCCCACGAACTGTGAGATCATGACCTGAGCCAAAATCAAGAGTTGGACACTTAACTGACTGAGCCACCCAGGTGCCCCTTATATCTGTATTTTAAAATTCATCCACTTGAGATTCAAAACCTCATCTTTTAATACTCCTACAAAAGATGAATAAATGAGCTAACTACTATTACCTCCTTTCTCTTCGTCCATCACCTCTCCACTTCTCTTGTACTCAATGGGATTTTGGCCCAGTTTATATTTTATTTTTCGCTGCCGTGCTTGAAAGCTGTTGTTCTGTCATGAAAGGTAGATAAGAGTTTATAGATTATATATTACAGTGGAATCAGCCTCGAGTGAGATGGTTACATTTCATTCTGTAGCTTGTAGTATAGCCTCTTCCTGCTTTCAGTTTTCATAGTTTCAAGAAGAGGATTGTGGGGCGCCTGGGTGGCGCAGTCGGTTAAGCATCCGACTTCAGCCAGGTCACGATCTCGCGGTCCGTGAGTTCGAGCCCCGCGTCAGGCTCTGGGCTGATGGCTCGGAGCCTGGAGCCTGTTTCCGATTCTGTGTCTTCCTCTCTCTCTGCCCCTCCCCCGTTCATGCTCTGTCTCTCTCTGTCCCAAAAATAAATAAACGTTGAAAAAAAAAAATTAAAAAAAAAAAAAGAAGAGGATTGTTGATAGGTCACTTATACTCCTAATGATATACATTAATAAATAAGAAATAAAGTATCCAATTCAAGATAGTAGAAAAAGAACAAAGTAAGTCTAAGGAGAACTAAAATAAGTTAGGTATAGTGACTTATACTGCTAGAGATAAAAGTAGGAATAAATGAACTAGAAAATAGTAGATTTAATGAAAATAAATCAAATAGGTGCTTCTTTAGAAAACCAATAAAATAGGGACACCTGGGTGGCTCAGTCAGTTAAACATCCAACATCAAGACTCTGCTTGAGTCTTGATCTCAGGGTTATGGGTTCAAGCCCCACATTGGGCTCTGCACTGGGCGTGGAGCCTACTTTAAAAAAAAAAAAAAACAAACCTAGTAAAATGTGTAAACTGTCAAATATAAACAAATGAGAGAAGGCAAAAAAAGAAATGATAGTAAGTAACCATTGATGCCTAAGTACTTAAAAGAATCATATGAATCTGTTTCCCTCAACTGTCTTTAAATAATTTGAAAACCTGGATGAAATGGGTAATATTTTAGAGGATATAAATTATTGAAACTGGGGCACTGGGTGACTTGGTTGAACGTCTCTTGATTTCAGCTCAGCTCATGATCCCAGGGTCATGGGATCAAGCCCTGCATCGGGTTCTGTGCTGAGTGTGGAGCCTGCTTAGGATTCTCTATCTTTCCCTCTCCCCTCTCCCCCTCATTCTCGCTCTCAAATTAAATAAATAGTAAGTAATTAAATAAGCAAATAAATAAATAAATAACAGCAACTGACACCAGAAGAGATAGAAATTTTAAATAGACTGTTTACCGTTGAAGAAATGTAGAAAGTTAGCTAAGAACTGCCTCCTCCAAGAATTCACAAATTCTGTAAAACTTGTAAGAAAAAAATACCAACATTGTTTAAAAAAAATTTTTTTTTCAACGTTTATTTTTATTTTTGGGACAGAGAGAGACAGAGCATGAACGGGGGAGGGGCAGAGAGAGAGGGAGACACAGAATCGGAAACAGGCTCCAGGCTCTGAGCCATCAGCCCAGAGCCTGACGCGGGGCTCGAACTCCCGGACCGCGAGATTGTGACCTGGCTGAAGTCGGATGCTTAACCGACTGCGCCACCCAGGCGCCCCAACCAACATTGTTTAAAATGTACCATGACAGAGAATAAAAAGAAGAACTTTAAAAAGTTTTGTTTATGAAGACAGCATAACATTTGATGCCCAAATCTTACCAAAATAGCATCAAAAAATGAAAATACAAATCTCAGTTATGAATACTGGTGCAGAATCTGTCATATTGATATAACACACCAGAGCCAAGGAGGGTATATTCCAGAAATGCAAGGATGGCTGCACTGCCTGACTTTATATAAGATTCTCAGAGACCTCTGTGGTCTTCAGTAACTGTTTGATTCACATGGTTTCACTTTTGAAGTTTCCATTCTTCTAACATTAAGTAAAGGAGACATTTGCTTTCTCAATATCTTTCAGACTTGGAGTATGTTTGGATGACCAAGGAATTATCTCCAAGCCGGGACATTTATGAAGGAAAGTTATCCCAGGCAGTGATACTGGAAGGACTTCCAAGCTGTGACCTTACCTGTTCCACATTAGGGGAAAACTTGAAATGTGAAAACCTGTTTAAGAAGGAGCTGGTAAGTCAGAAGACACCTTTCAGTCAAGAGACAGTCACTCATATTGGTACCCTTATCGAGAAAAGAGACCACTTTAACAAATCGGGGACACTTTTACATCTGAATAGATTATCTTATATAGAGCAGGTATTTTCCATAGAAGAGAGAATATATAATTTTGACACAGATAAGAAAAGTTTAAAAACACATTCATTTGTCAAAAAACATAAGCAAGTCTTGGGAGAAAAGAAACTTCTGAAATGTAACGACTGTGAGAAAACTTTCAGCAAAATCTCAACCCTTACCCTTCATCAGAGAATTCATACTGGAGAGAAACCCTATGAATGTGTTGAATGTGGGAAAGCCTTCAGCCAGAGTGCCCACCTTGCTCAACACCAGAGAGTTCACACAGGAGAAAAACCCTTTGAATGTACTGAATGTAGGAAAGCCTTCAGTCAGAATGCTCATCTTATTCAGCACCAGAGAGTTCATACTGGAGAAAAGCCTTATCAATGTAAGCAATGTAACAAAGCCTTCAGCCAGCTTGCACATCTCGCTCAACATCAGAGAGTTCATACTGGAGAGAGACCCTATGAATGTATTGAATGTGGGAAGGCTTTTAGTGATTGTTCATCCCTAGCTCATCATCGAAGGATTCACACTGGAAAAAGACCATATGAATGTATTGACTGTGGGAAAGCTTTCAGGCAGAATGCTTCTCTGATACGTCATCGGAGATATTATCATACTGGAGAGAAACCATTTGATTGCATTGATTGTGGGAAGGCTTTCACTGATCACATAGGACTTATTCAGCATAAGAGAATTCATACTGGAGAGAGACCTTACAGATGTAATGTGTGTGGGAAGGCTTTTAGCCATGGCTCATCCCTGACTGTACATCAGAGAATTCATACAGGAGAGAAACCTTACGAGTGTAACATCTGTGAGAAAGCCTTTAGCCATCGTGGCTCACTTACTCTTCATCAAAGAGTTCATACTGGAGAAAAACCCTATGAGTGTAAGGAATGTGGGAAAGCTTTTCGGCAGAGCACACATCTTGCTCATCATCAGAGAATTCATACTGGAGAGAAACCCTATGAATGTAAGGAATGCAGCAAAACTTTCAGCCAGAATGCACACCTTGCACAACATCAGAAAATACACACTGGAGAGAAACCGTATGAATGTAAGGACTGTGGTAAGGCCTTCAGCCAAATTGCACACCTTGTTCAACACCAGAGAGTTCATACTGGCGAGAAGCCTTACGAATGTACTGAGTGTGGGAAGGCCTTTAGTGATGGCTCCTATCTTGTTCAACATCAGAGACTCCACACTGGCAAGAGACCATATGAATGTCTTGAATGTGGAAAGGCCTTCAGACAGAGGGCATCCCTGATTTGTCACCAGAGGTGTCATACAGGCGAGAAACCTTATGAATGTAATGTTTGTGGGAAAGCCTTTAGCCATCGTAAATCCCTTACACTACATCAAAGAATTCATACAGGAGAGAAACCTTACGAGTGTAAGGACTGTAGCAAAGCCTTCAGCCAGATTGCCCATCTTACACTGCATAAGAGAATTCATACTGGAGAAAGGCCCTATGAATGTAAAGAATGTGGGAAAGCCTTCAGGCAGAGTGTACATCTCACTCATCATCAACGAATTCATACTGGAGAGTCATCCTCGATTATTCCCTCCTCCTCACTCCCATACCACCAAGTCCTCTAGATTCAATCTTCTGAAGGCCTCTAGAGTCCACCACTTTTTCCCAGTCTATGTCCCATTATCATAGTCTAAGCGGTAACCATCTCATTTTTATGTTTACAACAGTGTTACAAACATTTTCCCTCTAGCTCCCCTCAAGTGCATTTTTAACACTGTAGCCAGCTTAATCTTTTAAAAATAGGAGTCAGTATTCATGTTATTTTCCCATTTAGAACGTTTGTCTTTAAGAATATGTTAGATACCATTTAAGGGCTTAGCACACGATCCTTGGCATATAATTAGTGCCATTAAGGTAAGGGTTTCCTTGCTGTTACCTTCAGCTGCAAATAAAATCCAGTAGGTCAAGACTAAGAAATCTAAGGATTTTAGAGCAGAGGACTCTTCACTCTCCCAGAAGGTAGGGAAATGAACACATTCAGAATTAAAAGATTCTGTGATGGACAAGGTAACATGGTGGCTTACCACTCTCTGTGTGAATAAATACAAAGACTTGTAGGATTGCTGATGAGGAACTCTCCGCTTCACCTGGCATGCAGAAGTGAGAATAGGCCAGTCAGAACAAAGGCATTTGGTAGCATGTAGGACTAGGCAGGTATTGAAAACAAAGTAAGCAAGCTAGAAGACCTGATTAGAGTAACAACCATGAAATAAACTGAAGAAGGTAGTTTAACACTTTTTTTTTAATTAAAAAAAATTTTTTCTTAACATTTATTTATTTTTGAGACAGAGAGAGACAGAGCATGAATGGAGGAGGGTCAGAGAGAGGGAGACACAGAATCTGAAACAGGCTTCAGGCTCTGAGCTGTCAGCACAGAGCCCAACGCGGGGCTTGAACTCATGGACCGCAAAATCATGACCTGAGCCGAAGTCAGCCGCCAAACCGACTGAGCCACCGAGGTGCCCCTAACACTTTTTTTTTTTATTAAAAAAATTGTTTTAATGTTTATTTATTTTTGAGAGAGACAGACCCCAAGCAGGGGAGGGGCAGAGAGAGAAGGAGACACAGAATCCGAAACAGGCTCCAGGCTCTGAGCTGTCAGCACAGAGCCTGATGTGGGGCTTGAACCCACAAACCTTGAGATCATGACCTGAGCTGAAGTTGGACACTTAACTGACTGAGCCACCAGGTGCCCTGGTAGTATAACCCTTTTACCTGTAGAAAAGCACCACAGACAATTCCTGTGATGTTTAAATTGTTCTAAAGCATAAAATAAATATGGTAAAACTGCCCATCTTATTCTGAGACTAAGGCTGACATCAAAACAAAAACATATGCTACAATAAGCTTATGAATGTAGATACTAAAACGTAAACTTACTTTAAAAATTTTAAAAGGTAGAGTAAGTGGAAAGCTAGACATGTCTTTGTATAGAAAGTCTGGCAAAGATATTTCTCTCCACATTAAATATGTAAATTAATTGATATTCCAGTAAAAATCCCAATATATTTTGAAGTTGACCAGCTGATTCTGACCATCTATAGAGTTGTGGTATTATAGTAAGGAATGTACTCCTCATTCAGTTAACATTAAATGAGCATTTGCCAATGTGCCAAGCCCTGTTTTAGGTGCTGGGGACACAGCCAAGTGCAAAATACACAAAAGTTTTTGCCCTTCCAGATCTCGTGAGAGAAAACAAAAGAAGTTGAAATACAGTAAAATCTTGGGTTGCGAGTAACTTGTTCTGTGAGGGTTCCCGTAAGATGAACAAACATTTCTAATAAGTTTTAACTTGATAAATGAAGAATGTCTTGCAATACACGTAGTATGTGATGCCAAATATCACATGATCACAACTGAGCCAGTGGTTCTTCTCTCTGTCTCTGTCTCTGTCTCTCTCTTTCTGTGGGATTGTGGGTGATCATCTCCCATGCTTTGATGCTCACTCTCAGGCTGTAGTGTTTGGCAGAAATCAGTGATTTTTCAGAACGTTGGAAGGTGCCCACCACTGGCACTAGTGTATTTTTTGTCTCTTCAAAGCACCTATGAACAATCCTTTACTTTTCCATACAAGAGTGAGCTTAGGAAGGCTTTGCTTCATTGTAGATCAGGCTGCCTGCAGATACAGACCCTTTCTTCTGCTGCCTTCTTGCCAGTTACATTAAATACAGTATATGACAAGAGTTTATTAATGCTGTAGTGTAGTCAACATCTGTTAGTGATAGTGAAAGTCATCCTACACAACAACCCTCCTCTCTTGTCTCCCTCACTCCAGCCACAAAGGTTTTCAAAAGTAACTGCAGGTTAATTTGCTTATTTTTTTTATATTTTGTATTTTATTATTTTGTATTATATTACAAAATATATTCATTCTTACATGAATATTTTTGGGTTGTAGAATGAATCATCTGTGTTTTATTTCTCATGGGGAAATCGCTTTGATATACAAGTGCTTTGGATTACAAGCATGTTTCTGGAATGAATTATGCTCGCAAACCAAGGTTTTAGTGTATATACTATAAGTGTGTAATACGTACCGCAAAGAGAAATCATCGAAAGAGGGAGCTGAGGAGTGATGGGAAGGAATGCCTTACTATTCCCAGAACATATGGGCATTAGAAGCAGGGGACAAGGGAGATAATGTCAGACACAATGGACATAATGAGAATAGTTTTGTTCCAAGGTAGATAATTACACTTTCAGTGTTGCAAGAAGACAGAATTGATGGTTTAACAAGGATCATGAGAGTTCTATTTACTCTTTATCAATGGTGATTTCGAGTCTGGTGGAGGTTTTGTTTTGTTTTGTTTGTAACAGCCTTATTGAGATGTAGTTTGCATAACATACAATTCACCCATTTAAAGTATACAGTTCAGTGACTTCGTATGTCCAATGTTGTGCAAACATTACCACATTTCTTTACCTAAAAACAGGATACCCTCACCCCCAGAGGAGTACTCTTACTTGAAGCACCTAGTGCTTGTGGATTCCCTCTCGACTGCTGCCTGTGGCAGCATAGAAAGCTATTTGAGGGGAGCTCTTGTCCGGAGGACATGAGTGCAGGAAAATGGAGCTTTGGGGCTCCCTTTACTTTGGGATAGAGAGGAGGGGGTGAGTGGTCTTATTAGACTCCCCTTATGTATGATAAAAGGGATTTTTCACTGCAATGGGGGCAAGATAGATTGATCAAATGGTGTTGGGACACGTAGCTCCCTGGAAAGACAAAGATCTATACCCTGGACACTAACAAAGCCCTGAAAGAGCAAAGATCTAAATGTACAATATTAAAGTACAAGAAAAACGGTATTTCTGTAAGTCTGAGGCAGACCTATTTAGGTATTATACATAACCCAGGAGCTGACATTAAAGTAACATGTATGTGTGGAAAAGATCAGAGTCACAGTTAATAGACAAATTTAAGATCAAAAGAAAATGTTTGCAAACAGATATAACAAAGGATAATCCTGATATTCAAAGCATTCTTACAAATCAATAATAGTAACATCTGCAATTCGGTAGAAAAGTGGACAAAACCAATGGCCAGTTCAAAGAAGATGAGAAAACAGCTAATGGAAATGACCCAGTATCACTACTAATAAGGAAATGCAAAATATAGTGATGTTGTATATACTTCTTTCCCCAGTAGGTTGATGTTAAATCCTAGAGGAGTGATTATGTCTAGTGGTGAATGTGTCAAAGCCAAGACAATTCCGTTGTCAGGTGTATAAATTTATGTGTGTATATACCATTTGAACCATTATTTCCCAGAAACCAAAGTGTACAAAGGTAGGTGACTGTATAATGGCAAAAATAACTTTTAATGGTGAACTCTGTTAGAAACTAGTAGGGTCCTGGGTAAATGAGTAAGTTAATTATGGTGCATTCATTCAATAGAACTTTATACACCTGTTGATAAAAAGAAATATAAATGTGTATATGGCCATAGATAGTTGTATTATACCTAATGAAAAAAATTTTCAGACTGTATTCTAGTATAAACTCATAATTGTAATATCAAAAATAAAACGTAAAAATATGTATTTTTCTGTTTTACTCTGCCCAGTTTTCCTTGCCTCCTTCTTTGGACTACACCGTCTCTTCCTTTCCTTTGAGCGGCTGCCCTTACCATACCATACCGGACCATCACGGCTTTGATGGTCTTGACTAATCAGATTCTGTCTGGAGTTTGAAAGGCAGTTGGGTCTGTGTCATCCAGTGGCAGCTCCCTCTAGGGATGACGCTGGTGTCGTCCTGGCTGGGATCTTTGTGCTTCCTGTGGCTGTAACTCCCCGCACTACCCGCTGTGCTTCCAGTACTTCATTTTTTACGTATATTGCTTGCTTGCTTGCAGTTAAGGAAACAGCCAGTACAGAGTTTGGTATGAAGACTGGGTGACAGGCTGTAGAATCTTTGGAAAATGTGAGGTGTTAGGGATTGGTTTTGGGTGAGAGGGGCAAGTAAGACTCCTATTTCTTTTCTAGCCTAAGAGAGCACGAGCTCTTGGTGTGCACTGAGTAAACATCCAAGTGAATTAGTATTTGTAGTCACCTGAGATGAATAGGGGTTGGGGTCCTGGATAATGGCATTTTAGAGAAGAGGAATGCTGAGCCCAAAGAGTGTATAGGATGCTGTTATCTAATTGCTTTGGATAATTTAAAACTCAGATCTTGAACTTCTAGCATCAAGGCAAACAATTTCAACTAAAGGTCTTTTGGATATTGTGGAAAGAGGTCTTATATTATTTGAAGTCATAGGGTTAAGACTGCTCAACCAAATTGAGAGACTCCTTTTATGGTTTGCTAAAGTGGGATGCTGGTTAAATTCCATATTTTGTCATAGAGTATTGGAATTTTAAATTTTAGTGTTTTCAGAGGAAATAATAGACTGTAACCAAGTTCCAAATAATTTTAAAGGAAAAATTATCAAAAGAGAAAATGTGCTTCAGCAAATTAAGAAGACCTAAGTGGCTGAAAATTAATGTTAATGTTGAAAAATCAAAGTAATTTAGAAAACACACATTGTTTTGAAAACATGTGAAACAGGCTTTTCTTGGGGTCCATAAAGTCAATCAATTATGTAAATTTATCAGTTGAAACTTTTATTTTTTTAATCTGCTTCAGTATTTTCTTCTTTGAGAAACAAAATTTTAGATACCCTGAAAATGTCATAGGACAGGAACAGGGTCTTGAGAACAAGTCTCAAGATGAAGTGACCTTTTAGAGTAGATGAAGTGAGGCACCTGGGTGGCTCAGTCTGTTAAGTGTTGGACTTCAGCTCAGGTCATGATCTCACGGTTTGTGGGTTTGATACCCATGTTGGGCTCTGTGCTGACAGCTCAGATCCTGGAGCCTGCTTCGGATTCTGTGTCTTCCTCTCTCTCTGCCCCTCTCCCGCTTGCACTATTTCTCCCTCCCTCTCTCAAAAATGAACATTAAAAAATTTTTTTAAACAAAAAATAAAGTAGATGAAGTAATCTTTTAAAATGCATGAATATTTTGTAAATGTCTACAT